AACGTGTTGTGGGAAGAGCAGCGAGGCGATCTGCAAAGTGGAGGTCTTCAAGTTGGGAAAAGAGTGACTGTCCACTTGGTCTGTCAGCCGTTGTTCTACACATGATCCAATCAATGACAACCAGAAAGAGGATAGGAGAGATGACACATCCCTGTTGCACACCAGACCCCACAGAGAACCAGATTGACAGACTTTCATTTACAATGACACTGCACTCGAACTTTTGGTAGAACAACTCCATGACGTTGACCATCTTTGGAGGGACTGCATATGATCGCATATGATCGCAGAATCTTCAAAGGCTTGCCGGAAGTCGATAAAATTGATGTACGGAGGGGTGTTTCACTGCTCGATGATGTTCCTCAGAGCGAAGATCTGATCTATGCATCTCAGGCCTCTTGTAAATCCTGTCTGCCCTTGTCTCAGCCTGGTGTCAATAACTGCATCAATTCTGCTGAAAAGAATCTTAAGTAATAGATCGTTTTATTTTTGCAAATCGCCAGCTGTTAGCTAGGCGACTGAGATATCAGCTTTCGGAGTGTTTTCCAACATTTCAATCGGGCATATTTATCAGTTACACGGTAAACCCCTAGAAAATCCCATTTATTACCTTTTTCGGAAATAAATCACATAAACTCGCATCATCATTAGCTACAACAACAGAAATTGATTTCGAACCTTTGCATCTCTCTAAATTTTGGTTAGCATTCAGGAAGAATTTCGTTACATTACTGATGTTGCTATTACACCATGACTTAGAATAAAGTTCAGCTCTAGAAAGACAGCTGTGAACGTTTATTCAGGGTTTCTATAGTTTTGCAAGTAAATACAATAATAAAAATCTCATATTTGAACATGAAAAATCACCGCAGTATTGCACACAACTTTTAATTTTCAAAATGANGTTGCACACCAGACCCCACAGAGAACCAGATTGACAGACTTTCATTTACAATGACACTGCACTCGAACTGTTGGTAGAACAACTCCATGACGTTGACCATCTTTGGAGGGACTGCATATGGTCGCAGAATCTTCCACAGGATGTCGCGGTGCACGTTGTCAAAGGCTTGCCGGAAGTCAATAAAAGTGATGTACAAAGGGGTGTTTCTCTGCTCGATGATGTTCCTCAGAGCGAAGATCTGATCTATGCATCCCAGGCCTCTTGTAAATCCTCTCTGCCCTTGTCTCAGCCTGGTGTCAATGACTACATCAATTCTGCCGAAAAGAATCTTAAGTAATAGACCGTTTTATTTTTGCAAATCACGAGCAGTTAGCTAGGCGACTGAGGTATCAGCTTTCGGAGTGTTTTCCAACATTTCAATTGGGCATATTCATCAGTTACACGGTAAACCCCTAGAAAATCCCATTTATTACCTTTTTCGGAAATAAATCACATTAACTCGCATCATCATTAGCTACAACAACAGAAATTGATTTCGAACCTTTGCATCTCTCTAAATTTTGGTTAGCATTCAGGAAGAATTTTCGTTACATTACTGATGCTGCTATTACCTCATGACTTAGAATAACGTTCAACTCTAGAAAGACAGCTGTGAACGTTTATTCAGGGTTTCTATAGTTTTGCAAGTAAATACAGTAATAAAAATCCCATATTTGAACATGAAAAATCACCGCAGTATTGCACACAACTTTTAATTTTCAAAATGACATAACTACTGTTTTTATAAAGAGAAGACGGCTTCAAGCATAATTYAACTGCGCAAAACGTTATTACTGTTGTTCAACTGAAGCTACCGAAGAATTTGAAATATTAAGCGTGCGTATGCCTAATAGTCTCATGTATTCTGCACGGAACACTCTGTTCATGAAGCCATACACCAAGGGATTTATACACGCACTCGCCAGGCCACAAGTGGAGTACATCATATAGGCTCCACGAGAAAGGACCCATCCGCCACGAGCCATTTCCACGAAATCGATTATCATAACCGGAGTCCAACAAATAGCATATGCGATCACAGTCACTAATAAAGTTCTTGTTAACTTAACTTCTTGGGCTGTCATCCTAAAAGCGTCGCGGCTTTGTCTTTGCAGAGTTTTAACGCGTTTCTTGTTGGCTCTCAAAGCCAAGAATACTTTCATGTAAAAGTGCTGGATAACTAACGAAGGCACGACGAGATAAACGATGCCTAACTTGGCCAGAAACGAAAAATCAACGAAGCAGAAGAATTTGCCAGGATGAAAAGTATACACACCACCATTTGCCACGTAAGGAAGTTGAACCGTAGACGCAACTAGCCACACAAGCACAACCATTAATTTTGTTCGCTTCACGCTGAATATGGTTCGGTGCTTTATTGGATGAGCGATACGAAAATGACGATCAAGGGCCATCAATGCCATGGTTTGTAGCGAGCCGCTGCAGAGAAAGGGCACTGCATAACCACTGATTTGACAAAGGTAAAAACCACCGAGCCATCGTCCTGTGATCATGGCGGAAAAGGCTGGTGGAAATAACAAGAGCATCAAAGAAAGGTCCGAAATCGCCAGCGAAGTGATCAATATTCCAGCTGCATTTCGAAGTCTTGGCGTCTTGTAAACAACCAGAAGAACAAGTGTATTGCCGGGCACTGCCACAAGGAAAATTAATAAGGCAATTGAAGATTCCAAAACGATGGAGGAAGTACTCCTTGAGCTGAGAAGGTGTTGAAGACGGCCCTGTTCGGATAAACTCTCATTCATCTCTAGGTCGGTCCCATGTTTGCTGTAGAAACTCTTGTGGTGCTGTGGATTTAATAATTACTTGCATTGCTTTTAACTGATGCGACAATTTCTCTTGTTTTATGTGTGCAAACAAATTTCAAATTAGATACGACAAAAAGAAGGAGATATCAATAATTAATTTTACCAAGAAAATTGCGTGATCAATTCCTGAAGCATCCAAAACAATTTTATGCTGAGAATGTTAAACAAAGCGTATACTCTGTTACTGAAACTCCAAAACGACTCATGAAACAGAGAGAGATACCTTTTTTTAATGGAGGAAAACTTTTAGCCACAATCAAGCCGCGTTTTCTATGTAAATATTGTCTCAGTATATTCTCATAGGAAAATTAGCCATGATCAATGTAAACATTAAAGATGAAAACAGACATGTATAATAGATGGTGAAGGGAAAATTTGAAAATATGGTTAGGCAGACCCACGCGATTTGTTATATACTGGAAAACAACAAATAAACCTGCGAATTAATTTTCCGCTCGGACCACTTACTGTGAAAACAATTTTCTGCCCCTGATGGATTTTAAAATCTTCCTACTGAGTATCATTCATGAAAGCACCATATTCATTAAAGAACTACTTTCCATGAGTATTGGCTATCAGACTTAAAATCAGATCAAGATTTTTCGTCACTCTTTGCTCTACAAAATAAAACGTTTGCCATTGGGCAATTTGGAACAAAAATACAGAACACCTAGGCCTGCAGCTGCGTGACAATCCATTCTCACAGACAGATAGCAGGCCCGTATTAACACCTGAACATTTTTCTCACACTCACTCACTCATCCTCATCGGGCCCATGAAGACTCTTGAGGCCGGGAACATTTTTTCACCTGTTGTTAACCGTTCTGTGATTGAAAGGCTTTTAGAGACAATACGTTAACATTAACGAATCTAAGTTTTCGTTCCACCAAATGACGACATTGATATAGGTACAAAAGCCACTCTAATTTTAATCAAGAACATCGCAAAATTTTCAGCCGTTCAGCAGTTGTTGTTCAAGAGCTATAGTTGATTAGCTATTTGGTAATTTGGTGGTTATCTGTCAAAAACTTTCTGCATTTCTGTATGTCTGTTCTCTGTTGATAA